GGGAAGGCATTTGCCGCCAAACATGTCTCTAGAACACAGAGGGAGCAATTACCAGATGGCAGAGGAAGGGGGACAGGTTACAAAGAGGGGTGACTGAAATAGAACTTGAACAGTGAAAAGGAGCTTACCATGTAGGCTAGTTGGGATCAGAGTGGTTAGCAGGCAGTCTCTTAGGAGAGATACTACGACAGTACTAACCTTAGTAAGCATGGAGGAGCTTTGTGTATGAATTGTCTTTTAAATGTAATATCAATTGAATTGTCTAAGTAAAATTGAGCATTTGCAATTTAGACTCGTGGTTTACCAGTATATATAGGAAATTAGGAGTATTTTGAACCACTTATACTTTGTTTTCTTTATAGCTTACATCTAGTTTTCTATAAGTGTACTGTACTTTACATAATGTGCATGATAAAATTAGGGCTAATTCAGGTTTTGTTATTATATTTAAATGCAGCAGGTAAACTCATATTTAAAGGAATACTGAGATGCCTCTAGAAAACAATATATAAAGAAACATTTTGATCACCTGATTGATTTGATTTATATATTTGGTTTTGGAGAATTTAGAGCACAATTATGTTTGCTAGTGTCTTATGTGGGACTAAAAGGCAAAAAGCACACAGAACTCCCAATTCCCTGTTTATAGCTGCCTGCTCTACATTCTTCCTTAGGTAGAATGTAGTGTTGTTTATATTCTCTGAGTGCCTAACTTTGGCCTCTCTGTTCCTAAGTAAGCATAATTGCTGAAGTTGTTAAGTGACATTTGAGCTGTTAAAGGACAGTTAAGCTTTAGGCACAGGGAGATAGGATGGAAGGATAGTGTAGGTGGGAGAAATAGCAAAGGGGCAGATGTAGGGTATTATGCAATATCTTTAGAGCTTCAGTGAGGAAGCCAGTATGTCAAAAGGTGAGCAGAGAAAGAAGAAAAGCAGGATTTGTGTGTCTCATTACGTGCCAAGATCTTTACTAAGTGTTTCACATCTGTGGACTCTCCAGTATAGATGTGGTTTGTTTATAAATCTTAAGAGATGTGGTAAGTCATGTGTAGTAGCTTTTTATAAAGAGAAAGAAAATGTTTTTTATTTAAAAAATATTCTTTTTAAGAAAAGGAAACGTAATTTCAGAAATCACAACATTCTAATTAATCATGAAAACCTGAACCAGGCCAATGGGAAACATAGAAGAACAGCAGAAGAGATGTTTTAGAAATATTACGGAGGGGAATGGAGGTGAATGGAACTCATTGATTATAAAAGGTAACCAGATTTCCAAATGTCTATGAATTTAGTGGTGCCAATGAGATAAAACAGGAGAGGAGGAACAAGTCTGAAGAAAAGGTGTTTAATTTAACTTTAAGCATCAATACATGAAACTTCCAAAAGCAGTAAGATCAAATGTTGCTAAGGAAACTATAGAAGAGAAGTAAGAGAGAACCCAGGTTGCTTTAGTACAGAGTACAAACCTATTTCTTTATTATGGACAATTTTAAACTTAATCAGAAATTAAGAGAATAGTTCAAAACCCCATTATCTGTAATCAGATAATTAACTTGTGGCCACTTTCAATAATCTGTATCTCCCTACAGTCTCCTCTCCTGATTATTTTGAAACAAATCTCTAGGAGTTGGGACTATCCTATCTTATATAATAAAAGCCCAGCGACTGAATGGCAGAACTACTGGTCAACCAGTCACTATAACACGCACTGACCACTAGGGGGCAGATGCTTAACGCAGGAGCAACCCCCTGATGGTCAATGCACTACCACAGTGGGAGCACCACTCAGCTGACCAGGATGAGTGGCTGCTTCCACTGCAAACCCCAGCCAGACGGGTAGGAACGTGAGCTGTGATCATCTCCTCATTGATCAAGCCCCTCTGGGCTCCTGCAGGCTGTGCAGTGTCGCCACCACTGGGCTCTCAGAGCTGACCCCGGAGGCTGGGAGGCAGGTTCGTGGCTACGCAGGACTGAGGCCTATTCCGCTGCCTCTGAGTGCTATTGTCCCTGGGCCTGGCCCCGACTAGGTCTCATGGAGAGCCGAGTGCTCTGGCTTCATGGAAGATGCCAGACCAGAGTGTAGCTGCCAGGAGGGCAGGTCCACAGACACTTGGCTGACGAGGATGAGCAGGCTGAACCCCACAGGTCATGCCCCCCACCAGTTCACGAATTCTGTGTACCAGGCTTCTAATAATCTCTACAATTCTAAATGTGTTACTTTCATAGTACCTTCCCTCCTTTGACAACCTCTGCTTGAATATTTCTAGAGAGAAAGCATGCAATACAATGAGCTAGTTGTGTTTTTTGTTTGTTTGTTTGTTTGTTTTGTTTTACTAGCTCTAATTGTTAGAAAGTTTTCTCTTTTATTGAGCTGAAAATTCTAACAGTCTTAGTACTTTGCCAAGGACACACAAGCCCATGGTGAAGTCAAGAAAGGATTTAGACCTCAAAATATTTTTATATTGAGTTTGTAGTAAACCCTTTTTCTCTAAAGATCATAGTGTTTGCAAACAGTTTTTCTGCTACCATGTGTGCAGGGTGCTCATAGAGCAGTCTTAAAGACACATCTTAGAGCAAAAGCTTATTTTAGATGTTTAAAAAAGCTTCTCTCAGAGCCACATATGAGTAGATGGCTTAGCTACTCTTATAAGTGTATAATTTAATACTATATTTTTAAAATGTTACTGAAGTAATTCATATTTTTAATTGTGTTTTTTTTTACTTTACTAAAGTATAATAATCATAATTCAGTTCAATAAATTTTTACAAAGTGAACAGAGCAGTATTCAGAACAAGCAGTAGAATATTACCAGCAACCAGGAAATCTCTCATATGCTACATATTTATTACCTAGACACTGCTCTGCTAAGAATAACTATTATCCTGACTTCTACACCATTTCTTTTGGGTTTGGTTTTGTTTTTGGTTTCTTTTTGTACTTCATATAAATTGAATCATACCATATACACTCATTAGCTTCTTTAGCTTACTAATAGTGTATTTGTGAAATTAATCCATGTGTACTGTGTGGATGTAGTTTATTAATCCATTGTATATATATGTGGAATGCTTATTATATTTGCTATAGAGTATTTCACTGTGTGATTGACCTCAGTTTATTTCTCTGTTTTTGGTGGATTATTGGATTATTGCACAAATCTTTTGGTGAACCAGTTAACTGCCAGGCATCCAAAATGGAAACCATCCTGCTTGTGTCTATAGATGTTTATGGTGTACTAAGGGTGAACATTTGTGCATATTTCTATTCGAGATATCTAGGAGTAGGATTGTAAAACCATGAATGTTCTTGTCAGGTACCTTCAAATTGGGTTTAGAGTATATGTTCCAGCAGAAAACAGGATGGTAATCAAATCAGCCTCAGAACTGTAGACCAGGCTCTGGAGTTATATTTGAATTCTATTGTGGACTGAATTGTGTCCTCCAAAATTCCTAACTTGAAACCCTACCCCTTAATGTAACTATATTTGAGAGAGCCTTTAAAAAGGTAGTTAAGTTCAAATCTACATATATAAAAGACTAAGTGTTCTTCTGACTAGTAGCTATGATGTGCACTGACTGCCAGGGATCAGACGTTCAACACTGGAGTTGCCATGACGTACACTGGTCATTTAAATATAAATGAAATCATGAACCTGGCGCTGACAAACCAACACTTGGCTTCCCCCAAGTGGAACACAGGCCCCGCCACCACCCCGTAGCGACACCCCACCATATCGCAGCCAATGCTGCCAAAACCCCATGGTGCAAAATGCAACCCACAGCCCAGCCCAGAAACAGTCCCTGTGGGTGCCAGGTAATGACATCACAGAGCAACACCTGACTTCCTCTCCTTAGAGACTAGCTTCTTTGGAGTTTCTTCAGCCCAGGAACAAGACTTGCTTTATAGTCAGGTGCAAACATTTTACACTTTAACCAAATGTTTGTGAAGCATTTTTCACATGCCTCATCTCGTTTGCTCCTCAAAGAAGTCCTGGAGTAGGTAGATAGGAGACTCAGTAGGATCCTATTTTCTTTTCATTAGCCAGAAAACGGAGATTTAGAAAGTTTAGAAACATGACCCAACTGAAAAGAAGAAATGGTGGAAGTTGAAAATGACTTCAGGTTTTCTCACTGCGCAGAATATAATCAGACACTGCTATAGTTAAATATTTTACCTTTTTTTCTTTCTGCGTGAGCTATAATAATTATTTACTTTGTGTTGATATTTACTGCTATGTTGGTGACAATTACTTGAAAGAGAAGTTGGGGTGTTTCACTGGGCTGAAAAAAATTTAGCTAAATCAGAAAGCAGGTCTAATTAAGCAAGTTTATTTTATTTATATATATATATATATATATATATATATATATATATATATATATATATATATATGGCTAAGTAGACTCCCACATGTACGATACATATAAAGCTCTCGCTGGTACCAATTGCATGCATTTGTTTTGATCTGTCATTGTTGGTCGTGAATTTGGTTGACACTTCACAACCAAATAGAGAAAGAGTGAATAGCAATATTAAAATATTTCTTCTAATTTCCTTTCAATGTGCATGAATCTGTGCATGGGGACACTAGTGAGATCATAAGGATGGAACCTAATTCAATAGGACTAGTGTGCTTAAAAGAAGAGGAAAGACACCAGGAAAAAAAAGTCATGGAGGATACAGCAAGAAAATGGCTGTCTGTAAGCCAAGGCGTGAGGCCTCACTAGAAACCAGCTATGCTGGTACCTGGAGACCTCTAGATTTTCTCTCTCTCAGTGTCCTGTTGTCATTGAGGCAGGCCAGAGAACCAGGAGGTCTGGTGCCGCAGAGAAGGCAACATTTGATGCCAGTTTGGGGCCATGTAGTAAGCATTGGTTTTATTGGCCAGTGTTAAGTGTTTGTTTTGTTTTATGTTGTTTTCCTACAGGTAAGCTTTGTTATTATGCTTTAAACTGTGGTGTGTTTTACTCAGAAATTTAGACTTACCTTTATTTTTTCAGGTTTAAGCCATTTTTTCCATTCCAAACCTTGCAAGGATTTGAAGAAGATGAAGAAGACCATATCCATATACAACAATGGGCACTTACTGAAGGCCGTCTTAAAGTTACATTGTTAGAATGCAGCAGGTATGGTCTTTGTTTTGTCATTACTACAGTATGGGAAAGAAAGTGCAGTAAAATGTGCTTAAGTAGTATTTGTGTTTACTTTCCCTCTGAGCTGATTTATATTGTATTATCTGTAAATTATTTAATTGTAAATTAAAATTAATCCTTTACAGTTCGCAAAATATATGTATAAACATTCTAATGGGGTTGGGGGGGCATTTATTCTTTATAATTCCCAAACTTTTTAGATGCATGACGCTCTGTTGGCATACCTGACTTAGACCTATGGAGAGCAGTTGATAGCATAACAGTTTTGAGGATTGTTTGTGATCATTGAAAATACTATGGAAAGTTGAAAAATCAGACTTGGAAACCCCTGTGATGCTTAGAATTTTAGAGCTTTCTGAAAGGATCTGGCCCAGCCTCCTTATTTTATTTTACCAGCCCCATAGTCTAAGCCAGTGGTCAGCAAATTCATTAGGCAACAGAGCCAAATATCAACAATGCAACAATTGAAATTTCTTTTGAGAGCTAAATTTTTTAAACTTCTTCTAATGCCACATCTTCAAAAGAGACTCAGCCTAGGCCGTGGTATTTTGTGGAAGAGCTACACTCAAGGGGCCAAAGAGCCACACATGGCTCGCGAGCCGCGGTTTGCTGACCACGGATCTAGAATACAGACTCAAATCTTTGCCAGGGCCTACACACACCTCTGACCTTTCTAATTTCTTTGATCAGCACCTCACTCACAGTACTTCACTTCAGCCACATAGGATGGCAAAGTCTTTCTCTAAAGGGCTAGATTATAAATATTTTAGGCTTTATGATTTACATGGTTTCTGTTGTAACTACTCAACTCAGCCTTGTAGTGTGAAGGCAGTCAGAAATAGACAATAGGTCAACAAATGGGTGTGGCATGGTTGTGTCTATAAAGTTGTGTATATTTATGTATAATTCTGAATATATGTGAGTTTTGTAATTTTTATGTGTCATGAAATATCCTCCCCCTTCCCACCCATTTAAAAATGTAAAAACCATTGGTAGTCCACAGGCCATACAAAAATAAGCAGTGAGCTAGATTTGGCCCATAGACAACCACAGTTCACCATTCCTTGCCTTAGATATTTTAAAGTACCAAGGCCCTGTGTACACACCCCACTGTTTCTCTACTGAAGGCGCTACCCCATTTTCTGCTCGTTGAAACCAACCTTTCTTGGCTCACCTCAAAAGCTACATCTTTAATGTATCTCCTAACCATTCCAAGTACAAGCATACTGTCCTTTTGCTACTTTTCTGTGACACTTGTTTATACCACTTGTTTGGTACTTATCACTTCTATTTTTATTTCCAACTCATAATAAAAACAAGTGCTTGGATACAGAGGTTATATTTTTGTACTTCATATATTTATGTCCTTGCAAATAAATAGGTTAATTTTGAATACCTTAATAAATAATATGATAAATATTTTTGTTTGTCTTAGAGTGACTCATAATTGTGCACCGTTATGTCAGAAAGCTAGTTGAAAAGAAATTCTTTTATCAAAGAAAGACTAAATCTGTAAATTTTGTAAAAAGGAACTTTAGAATACAATAAAATGACATACAATAAAATATGGTTCTACACAAGTCTGAATTTGAAGTAGCTAAGCTAATATATAAGTATGAAATTATGTTAATATTTAGGACATTTTTCAAGTGGCCTAAGTCTAAGGAAATTTTGAAGTGATGTTTTCCTTTTTTTCCCCCCAGTGAATTTTCTTATTGATCCACAGGCATCAGAATCATACTTAATGGATTATCTTTTCCAAAATAATCATAGCAACTTCAAACCATTTGAAGGACAGCTTTGCACAAAATTTCTTGACTATACTGTTATCAATTCCTATCTACCTACTCATCCACCCATCCCTAGATCTGCAAAGATAGCCTTGAAGGAGATTTATTTATTCATTCATTCATCTAACTTGCCTGCTGTAAAGCTTTGAGAGTGAACTTTGCCAGTGAGGGAAAAAATTAGAAGTATTCATAGAAAACAAATTGTTTATTGAGAATATTGGAGTTATTGTACAACTGGAAACTTTATGCTTTAGGAGGCAATATGAAGTGGAAATAATACCAACTTCTGAATTAGAAAGTGCTGTCTTTACATTTTAGTTGTGTATCCTTACTGTTAGATATTCTTAGACAAGTTTCATATCTGGAAAATGAGCAAGGCTACCTACTACCTTATCAGTAATTATGCCCAGAATAGGGAAATAAACCACAGTGGCTACTATATAGAAGGTCTCCAGTAGCTGAAGCTTCTATTATTATGCCTCAATGTAATTAGAGTGTTTACCAAGAGGAAACAAATCTTTAGACAAACCTGTTCTTCTGCATAATTGGTTGTGAGAACTGGAATTTGAAATTTATTAACTTAGAAGGTTCTCAGACTGTAAAGAGAGGTTCTTTTTTAATTATCTGAAGTAGAGTTTTGAACTTCCCAATTACAAGTTTGGGTGTGGAAACACAATTTTGTTTGTAAAACTTGGTTCTAATTGCTTTTTTTTTTTTTTTTTGCATTAAACTAAAGTTGATTTTTAAAAGTTCCCAATTACCTCAATTTATGTATTTGTAGTGCACATGTGTCAAACACAAGGCCCGCGGGCCAAATCCGTCCCGCCAGGCCTTGCAATGTGGCCCGCACCGCGCTGTCATCACTGCACTCCGCTGCGTTTCCATCACAATGACAGTTTATGACTGTTCAGTAAACCATTCGGCCCGCGATTTAGGCTGGATTTTAGATTTTGGCCCCTTCTCTGTTTGAGTTCGACACCCCTATTGTAGTGCTTCTATTAGAAGATTTAATTATTGCACATTAGTGTTACAATCATATTGTTAAAACTATTTTTAAATTTGTAATTTATAGTCTAAAAAGGGTTTAAGTATTTTGCAAAGAAAACAAATGCCCATGTGCAGTTAAATAGAAAATACAAATTAAAAACAACCATATAGAGAAGAGAAGATCAGTTTTCTGGCAGCAGAGGAAACTTAATGGATAACTTAACTCTCATTTTCTGACAAACTGTGCATGTTATTTAGGAGAAAAGAAATTTGGCCTCAAATTCCAGGAGGTATTTGTCACATATTCTTTATGGAAAAGACAATGAAGTAATGAATACATTTTCTTTTCTTGTTTTTTTTTTTTTTTTTTTGGCTGGTTTTATCAACCAGATTTATTTTTAAAACAAACCAAGATTATAGTCAGTGAAAGCAAAGCCTATATGGTTTTGTGATGTAAGATTCTGTACTCTAAAATGGTGTATTTAGGATATAGCCTGTCCTAATTATGGATAGAAGATTCTAATTAAGGTCACTCCTTCTCTGAGTCACACTTACACTGTTCTAAAACCTGTATTTTCTCAGCAGCTTTTGGAATGCCTATTTTATTTTACTGGGTTCCAAAAATACATCACTTAAAAAAAATGTTTAATGGAAACACAAACTATAGCAGTTGACATTCTGCTCTATAACCAGGAGACCTTATCTGATTCCCCAATTATCTATTATCGGCACAGACTCATAGATTTCTATATTTTTCAATGGTTATAATTCTTTATTATTCTTAATTATTTTGTTGTGAATTGTTCCTGATTTGGCCATTTGGAACCGCTTCAAACTTGGCTCTGTATGCTTGTGACATGAGCCTGTCTTTTTTTTTTTTTTTTTTTTTTTTTTTTTTAAGCTCTTCGTTCTTTCTGGTATAACAAATTGTTCCAGGTTTATTTTGTATCTTTGCCATAGTCCTAGAATCAGCTATTTTACTAAAGAGCCCTGGTTCCTTTTAATAGAGAATGGTATTAAAAATCAAGACCTGGGTGTTGAGTTGTTCACTGCTACTTCATATACTCAGAGGTCCCTTCACTGGACAGAGTTGTGAAATACATACATGTATAGACACTTACACATATATGCATACACATACACAATTTAGAAATCATAAGTTCACCCAGTATTTCCAATTCTAGTTTATCCTAGAGTTGTTCCTTGCCTTGGTTCGTTCTTCCTCTCATATTTTTATGTCCCCTGAACCTAGCTCCAGTAACATCAGCACTTGTACTCATTTCCTCAGTTCTGTAATAACATCTCAAATAGTTGCAGAATTGCTCTATTACAAGTACAGAAACATACTTATTAAAAGGAATTCAGGATTTATTTGAAGTCTCCTCTACACTACACAAGATTGAGAGTGTATGGTCAAATACTGTACAGCCATATGTTGCATAGTGACATTTTGGTCAACAATGGACCACATAAATGATGTTGGTCTCATAATCTTATGAGCTCAGTTTCCTATTTAAAAATGGAAGGATATGAGGTTCCGGAGGAATTATTTTTCTCTGATGGGAGAAGTATCTGTGGGGCTTGGCAATAGATTGCCTCTCATTTAGAGCACCTCAATTTTTTTATGCAGAGATTACATCCCAATCAGTCAGCCACTGGCCTCTTTTAGCACAGCGGATCCTGCCCCCACCCTCTACCCCTCCATCACTACATATTCAGAAGGCTGCAGCCCTTCCAGATCTAGCTTGATGGTCTTCAGAATGCATTGCTATAAATTCTTCATTGATACTTAAGGTCCTGAACAAGGACACAGGTCCACAGGATTTTCTCATTGTGTGGGTTGGTGGTATCCTTTGAAGCACAAAAAAATTAATTTCAGTGATGTCCCATTTATGTTTTTTATTTTTGTGTCCTATCTTAATAAACCATTGTCTTATCCAAAGAACTATTGCACAATCCAAGAATTGTGTTTTCTTGTTCCTGAATCCTGAAGATTTAATATCTATTGGGAATTCAGAAACTACTAGCTAGTGCATAGCTTTCTCTGCACTGTCGGCAAGGCCCTTACTTGGGTAGTTTGCGCTTTTGAACAGATGGTGGCAGCAAATCTTTGATAAATGAAAATTCTCATTTTCCTAAACTTAGCCTTTTATAATTCTGAATCTTATGTTTTTGGCAGTAGGTTGTTGAATACTGTTTAAATTTCCTTTTAAGATTAAAATTTATTTAAATTTATGGATTTCTTTTTGCCATGATTTTGTTCAGGCTTTTTAGTTCATGAAGCCAGTTGGTTAGGCATAAGCATGATTTGCTTTAGGTCTCAACCTTAGGAAACAATTTTCTCATATTGCTCTGATGTGTTTTATCCATTCTAATTTCATTATCTCCTACCCCCATGGTATTCATGTAGAGGTAAAGTAATGGAGTGGTAATCAAGATGTTGATCAACAGCTAAAGCTGTTTTCAAGCTTACTACTAAAACATATTGTCAGACTTATGTTCTGATTTAACAGATAGATAATGTAGGACATGTAGGTAACATTTTTTCCTCCAATAATAATAACTGCCTAATATGATCTCAAGATTAGACTTGGGATTTCATTTTAAAATATGAATATTAAGCAGTAAAATTAGGTGATACAGTTATTCCTTGGTAATTGTTTTCAAGATAATAGGAATAACAAACACTTATTGAGCACTTATTATTTGCTAGGTACTATGCTAAATGCCTTGTATGCATTGTTTTCTTTTACTCTTACAACGGCTTTAAGAATTAAGTACTATATTTCCCCTGAATTGTTCAAAAGAAGAAATGGGTTTAGAGAAATAAATTCAGTCTTATTAGTAGATGGAGGTAGGTGTGTGTGTGTGTGTGCGAGCGCATGTGCACATGTGTGCTTATGTGTATTTGTGTTCACAAGAAACTATTTGTACTATATCTTATTCATAAAAATTACTTTCTGTTTGTTTGATTTAGCCACTGAAAAATAACTTGTCCTGGAATGTCACCTAATTTTAGCTTTACTTCAGTTTTCCACTAGAGGGCATACCAAGTATTTAATTTAGGTTTTTCTGTTATCAAAATTATAATAGTAACAGTAATTTATTACTTCTTGGTACAATGATTTGAAAGCAAAATTTTAATGTACATAACTGGTACAATAATCTTGTTTTATTTTTACATTGCAGGTTACTCATTTTTGGATCCTATGACAGAGAGGCAAATATTCATTGCACACTTGAGTTGAGCAGTAGTGTTTGGGAAGAAAAACAAAGGAGTTCTATTAAGACGGTAAAACTAATTTGCATAGTTTTACATCTGTATAAAGTTTGTATTCTATATGCATGCTTTTATTAATATTTCTATATTCTTAGTTATTTTTGATCATGTGTAAATAATTATGAAGAGCTTTTATTCGTCTTTTTATAATACAACATCAGTAATGAAATGGATCACATAAAACTATAGTATTCAGATTGCTTGCTTTCATAAGATATCTAGCCTAATTTCCCTTCTGTGTGGGAGACGTGAGGGCAGGTATGTTTGAGTAACTGAATGAAGGTAGTCTAGCCATAAGTGAGGTGGAGTCATACTTATTCATATAGGGCATGGCAAGGATTTTGGATTTTATTCTTTGTGGTGGGATAGTTTTAAGTTAGGGAGTGACAAGATCTTGTGTACATTTTTTTTTGTATACAGAAAGGGTGGTAGGAGGATGAGAGTAAACCGAAGGGAGATCAGGAGGCATTCTGGGGAAGGCATTCAGGAGGTGGTAGCTGAGGAAATGGAAAGAATGGATTTGGGATATACTTTTGGTGTGTGAAGGACTAAATGTTCTGGTTTCTTTTTTGATGTATCAAAAAGAGATTTTCACCTAAATTGTAAAACTTTTGGGGGGGGGGGGAATAGGCTTTTAAAATATTTTAAGTGCTAGAAGTAAAAATGAACAAAAATTGCTTCCAACTCAACATGTTTTAATTTGGACTTGTTGGGTTGAGTTCTTAAATAAAAATTGTCACTTTTTTTTTTTCCAAATTTGAGTTGATATTTCTGAATGTTTCCCATAGAAGTTTTAATAGGAATTATGATATACTTCTTGGAATTTGCATAAATCTAGTAGTTTATTAAAGATTTAGAGCATTTATCAAAATGTTGTCTACAAAGTTGCTTTATTAAGCCCGTGAAGTTTTGCATTGGAAATAAAATCCCAGAATTTTATGTCTGGAATTGAAAAATAATTTATGCCATCAAAGAACATGTAGCCTTTCTTGATTTTTAAGAATAGTTATTTCATATGCTAAGCATACATTAAAATATTATGCATTTGGTAATAATAGAACCCCAGAATGCTTCTTGGATTTCCCAAATTTCTCTGGGTTACTTCTAGTCTTTTTAAATATTAGGTCTATTTAACACATCAATAGTTTTTTGCAGAAATAAATTATAGATGCATTCTTTAAAGATGTATTTAATAACTTAAAATTTCAGCTATTTCTATCACATTGAGCTCTTGGTAGCCATATAGCCAATATTTAGGAAAACTATTTCTCTAATATGTCCTCAGTATATTGGTGAATAGGTACTTTTGAAGTATGTTTACATAGTTGTTTTATAGTAGTAGTAATGTGCTTTTTGGTTTTTCTAGAATATTATATTATTCTTCATAGCATTTTTAAAAATAGTCACAATTCTTTATTTTTTTAAATAGGCTCCTAAGCATATTGACTTTTGAAGGTTATGTGGTACCCTTTTATAGATGCATCCTTGACTTTTAAATTGTTTCCAGTGTCTCTATGTAATAACTGTTGTGTATATCTTTATATAACATAGGGCAGTGTGAAATTATTTTGGAATAAGTAGAGTAATTTTGATCAGGGTGGGAATATAGGGGAAAGTAAAGCTGGAAAGAGGATGGGCTGAACCACAGAGTTTTAATTTATGAAAGTTTTGGGGAGCTATTGAAGATTTTGAACATGAAAATGACATTGTCAAAATAGTGGTTTTTAGGAAATTCTCCCCCTTTTTGGTGGTTGTGCATACCTTAACTTTAAGTTACATCTCAGTCAATTTGAAGCAGCTCCCCAGAGGAATAAAATAACCAGCTTTACAGTTTGTTCTGAAATATATAAATATATGAAAAAGCAATATTGTTTTGTCTGGGTATGAAATAGTCATAACTTGCCATTGCTATTGGCATTTTCAGTTTCCCTTATATCAGATTAGACAGCTTTAATATTTTATAACAAAAATTAGTAAGACTTTAATCTTGTCATAATTTTAGATCTTAGCATATGTCATAGCTAGTTTTGGAAAGATAATTCTAGGTTACTAATTACATCTGTTCTCAAAAATGTCAACAACAGTTAAGTGTCTTCAGGCATTAAATTACATATGTCTGAATTTAATAACTAGGGAGGAGAATTAGAGTGCTCTTCAAGACTACATAAGACATTGTAGGATAGGATTTGAAAATTTGGAATATATTATAAATTTGGATGGAAAATGTATCATTAAAAACAAGTATGCTAAAGAACTCAATGATTTTGGAAGTTATTTTTATATATACAATCTTCAGGCTTAAATTAGTTTTTTAAATGTTAAAATTTACTCAGTCACTAATTTTAGTGTACAGAATGAAAGAAACTTAATATCTTTCATATTTTAAGTATAGCTTTGAGTTTTTAAAGCATTTATAATGTACCTTATGCCATTAATAGGGAAGATCAATAACAGATGGAAAGCTTTAGATTTGTAATACTTACAAATGTTGGGGGTAGAGATGGAACAGTTGTAATGCATTAGCTGGAAGTATTAGCAAATCTAATGAATGTGGCTTAAGCAGAAAAAAGAGACTTGTCTTGTGCGATAAGCTCGTAGTTAGTATATAATCAAGGAGATGGCTCTTACTGGCTTCCTCCTCCATCATCCTTAGCATGGGCGTTTTATTCTCATCGTTGCAAATTATCTAGTGTACCCTTAGGCATTCACCTTTCAAGAAAAAGGATGAGCTATAAGGCATGGCAGAGGCACATGTCAGTCAAGTTTTGTCCTTCTAAAATTCTTTACTGGAAGCTCCACTCAGGGATTTTGACTTATATCTCATTGATAAGAACTAAGTCATATGGTCTCTACTACCAGCAAGGAAGTATGGGGACACTTTGAGTTAAAAGAAAAGGGTTATGAATACCTTTTAGGTGGTCAGTCCACAGTCTTACCATAAGAAAAAAATTAAATCTATTTGATGATTTTTTTGTTTGTAAAGGGATTTTTTTTTTCTCTTATGTTGGGTATCAGGGAATATTGCAAAGAATAATTTAACACATAGCTTGCATAAAGCCTACTTTCTACCTTATTAGAAATCCAAGGCAAGTTTGGGGCAAAATCAGACACTCATTCACTGCCTTGCTTATTATTTCACTTGCAAAATAAAAGAGCTCATAGAATAAATGAGGTACTTGTGTTTATTCTTTAAAAATAATAAAGATTCCTCATGAGAATCCCATTAAGTGTGATAGCTGAGGTGAAAATAAATTAGATATCAGGTTTAAACAAACATTAGAGAATTATCTTACAAGAGATGACAAAGTCAATATTAAAAATATGTTCACCTTGCTGAAACCGGTTTAGCTCAGTGGATAGAGCGTCGGCCTGAGGACTGAAGGGTCCCTGGTTTGATTCCGGTCAAGGGCATGTACCTTGGTTGTGGGCACATCCCCGGTAGGTCCATGTCTCTCTCTCATCGACGTTTCTAGCTCTCTATCCCTCTTCCTTTCTCTCTGTAAAAAAAAAAAAAAAAAAAAAAATTCAATAAAATATATATTTTTTTAAAATATGTTCACCTTTACTAAAAGAGACAAGGCAAGTTTATTTTCATTCTTTAGCAATATACAGGCTTGGTGATGATAATTGGCTTCCCTTTCACTAATGAATAAATTTCAGTTTCAGATTTTTAAAAATGCTCATTTCAGGCAACGATTAATATTCCAGTTGGAAACTTCATGGACAGCTATATATCTCTAGAATTTATAGTGTTTATCAAGTAAAATTCATAGTGCTCATCAAATAAAATTCACAGTAAATTAATCTGACATATTAAAGCATACATAATCATTGTGTGAATACTAAAACAAATAGATCATATAAATATCACATAAACACACACAGTTTTAAATAGAGAGATCCTGAGTGTCACTTTCCTCTGAATCTGGGAGTTCTGAGATAGTGGGAAAGGCCTCAGGCCAGCTGGCACTCAGCTGTTCTGCCTAGCTCTTTCCCTTGTTTTCCATTTTAAATAAAACGGTGAAATGAGTTTAAGTTTGAAAACAAGCTTTTTAATGTTCATTTTATCCTGTCCCTATTCCCTCTGCACTCAGGCATTTGAAAGCAATTGTCCTTTATAAGAGACTGGTCTTTCCTTCTGTGATTAGAGACAGAATGTTAAAAATCCAAATAACTGTTAAGTCAGTAGTACCTTGACATAAATATGTTACTATCAAAGAAGAAGGAAGAATATGGGCTTCTTGTTCTGAAATGAAGACAGAATTAGAAAAGTAACTTTGGATACTTAGGATGTAGTACAAAGTGGATGGGCAGAAGAGATGCTGGAACCGGCATGTGTTCAGTATAAATATAATAGAAGCAGAAGCACTTCAGGTTTATGTAGCTGAATATTCAGGTACCAGAGGGAATTGTGGTGAAAGGCATTAGATGTCATGATATAGCAGACCTTCCTGAAAAATAAGAAGTAATAAATCCCTGAAGGGCATTCAGCTAACAATTGGGGAGAATTTCTAAATGGTAATTTGGAACTCTTAATTAGAATGAGTATATTGTTTTCAGAGGGTTATAGGATATCAGTTGGCAACTTCCAGTTGGCAATTACCAGTTGGCAACTTCAACTGGCAACTGCTAAGGGCTTTATTTATTTTATTTTTTTACAGCAAAGGTGGAAATTTATTGAAGAACAAGTACAGACTCCCACGTGGGGAAGGAGAAAGAATCTCACAGCACAGACTCCCATGTGGGGGTGGGGAAAGAGTCCCCTGCTAAGGGCTTTAAATAGGGTCAGCTGTACCCAGAATTATGAAGTCAGAAGAATTCATCTTCTAGAGTCTATACTTTATCTTTTTTTTTTTTTTAATATATTTTTATTGCTTTCAGAGAGGAAGGGAGAAGGAGAGAGAGATAGAAACATCAATGATGAGAAAGAACCATTGATGAGCCGTCTCCTGCACATCCCCTACCAAGGATCAAGCCAGCAACGTGGGCATGTGCCCTTGACTGGAATCAAA